CCCTATTTGCTGGTTCCCAAAACCTGCCATTCCCCAAGTGACAGGATGTGGATTTCACTCCTGAGGGCTTAGGGAATGGGGCAAGCTTGTTCACCACAAAAACCCATTTTTCAATCCAATCCAGTTGGTTAATCCAGATCTAGAAAGCAAGCATCTGAAGCACATCTGGAATGCTGTTGTTTGGAGCAGTTGGTTGCTTTGCTTTCAGCTGTGATCCTTCACCTTGGAAGGCAGTCAATAGCACCCTCTTGTGAATTTCAGAGCACCTCGCCTAGCTGTGACATGAGCCACTACAAAAGATCTGGCTGGAGGAAGATGCTGGCTAACAACGGGCTCTCTGCAGAGGTTCACTCTAAGCAGGATCACTGCAGCTGGGGATGCTTGAAAGAAACTTCCCCATTGTTTCTGCAAAGTGAATGTGGATTGTGATGTGGTATGCAAATGGCTGAATTTGCTCTTAGGCCATTTTTTCCTCCAACACAACCATATATAAATTAAGGTCTATGCATGCAGGCATACATAATGTGGCTAATGATCCAAATATGTCTTCACCTCCTTCCTTCCTTCCTTCCTTCCTTCCTTCCTTCCTTCCTTCCTTCCTTCCTTCCTACCTTCCTTCCTTCCTTCCTACCTTCCTTCCTTCCTTCCTACCTTCCTTCCTTCCTTCCTACCTTCCTTCCTTCCTTCCTACCTTCCTTCCTTCCTTCCTACCTTCCTTCCTTCCTTCCTACCTTCCTTCCTTCCTTCCTACCTTCCTTCCTTCCTTCCTACCTTCCTTCCTTCCTTCCTACCTTCCTTCCTTCCTTCCTACCTTCCTTCCTTCCTTCCTTCCTTCCTTCCTTCCTTCCTTCCTTCCTTCCTTCCTGTCCTCCTCCTTTTTTGGTGACACCCTAAAGCAAAGAAATCATCACTGCTTTACTCAGACCTCCAATTGTGCTCAGTTTTGTTTTTTGTCTTGGGAACAGGATTCTGGCTAATGAAAGCTTCCATTGTGGAGATGATAATGAGCTTACTCAGACTCAACACTTTTCCCCCCTAATAACAGTTGGTTCTTCATCTAGTAAGAAAGCATGGACAGAAAACCCACTTTCCCTCTTCTGTTGCTACAGCTCTCTCTGGAGTCACACAATGAAACTCATCTGTACGCAGGTACCCATACACACATACCTTTCTCCCTTTCCATCTTAGCCCCTAAGCAGCTTTGTCAGAAGACAGAGCACTAGACTGACGATGGGAAAAGCCTATCTGTAATTATTTGAGGTCTGCCAGCTTTATTACTCTTGAATTGTGTGAACACAACAAGATGCCATATTTTCATGCAGCTTGAAACATGGCCTTGCAGTGGTGATCTTTGGCTTCAGCCCTCGAAATTAGAAACAGAGGCCAGCTGACAAATGCAGTTCCCTGTCAACTTCACTATTCACACGCTAAGCACACACCAGGCAAATCAAATTATACTTAGTGCAAGAAGCAAGTCACTGGATAAATATAAGCATTGTACCACGTAAGGAAGAGGCTTATTTGTGATTAAACGATGTACGCTTGAAGTTTCTTGTGTAAGGTTGCTTGAGAACAGAATTTGATAAACACTTTTATGATAGAACTGGATCTGAAAATTCACAGTGGCATCTGATGTTTTATGGATGCAAGTTAATGTTTTTCCCCCAACTCAGAACTGTAAATATATATCAGCAACAGGGAAGCTGTGCAAAACTATGTATTTAGCAAATGGTTGAAGAGCGAAGCAAAGAAGGAGCAGACTGGGGAAATGGGTAGGGTTTTGATAGAGAATTAAAGAGGGGTGTCTGCAGGGGTATGGTGAAAAAAGTCAAGATGGTGGCCACAACAGTGAGATTGAAGCTCTGCCTGTTTTTTATGTGTCGTGGCTGCAACGCACATAAAAAATAGGAGAGCTTCGATCACATTGCCAGGGTGCCATCTTGAATTTTTTTTTCCCACCATATTCTATGGACACCCATGGAATTAACCCTTTCCCATGTGCATTTTCCCATTGGAAAACAATCCCATGATCGATTTGAACCATGGAAGAAGGAAACAGCTATAGGCAAGAGCTCTTCTGCTTCTTTAGAAGGAGTTGAATAATAGGTGAAACAGTGGAAGATATCTCTTCTTTTGCCATTTTATTGCTTATTATTTATTTTTTCCATCTCTCTGCTGCTGTATTTATTTCTACTGTGCAACATTTACAACAATTTGCTACCTTAACTGTGTTTCCACTGGCTTTATCTGTAACCCAATTTAAGTTTATTTTACAGTATAAAGAAAAATAGTGTATCTGAGTTCATATAAAATATTTACTTTGCTTACTAGTTGAACCTATTTTCTGGGAGTGTGCAACACACAAAATCATTATCTAGCCAAATAGGGTTAGGGTTTGCAAAATAACTCAAGTTGCAAAAAACAAAACAAAAGAGAAACCCCACAACTCATTAGGTTAACACTAACCAAGTTTAATATTTGTGTAAATGAAGCTGTTAGGCTAAGTGCTTTTCTGTATAAACAGCAAGAGACACGTTTGAAACAGCATTTGCTTTTTGCACAACAGGGTCTTGTCTCACACACTAATAAAGTTAATAAATAAATAATGCAGACTGTTTTGGGGAGAAAGAGAAAAGGTTGGGAGGGGGAGCTGAAAGTGTGCCACATTGCATATAAAGAATGCTGTTTTGCTATCCTCAATCACAAAACAATAAATGGGGGTACTGCAATGCCGTTTCGAATCTTGAGCACGCCAACCTTTTCCACTGCAAAACAGGGACACACAAAATCTTGAAAGCTGGTGTGGAAGGTATACAAGTGTTGCATGATATCAGTGTTAAAAAACGACAGAGTCCCTTCATCATAGTCCAGCAGGAGGCCAATCCTCTGGGGAGGAACAGTGATCTTGATGTCCGGTGTCATCCCATCATTCAGAAATTCGTAGATGTGGCTACATAAGGAAAAAGAAACTTTCAGATCAGAAGCTTTAAAAGATAACTTGGTATTAGCAAGTTATTATTAGCAAGAAGTGGGTTGGCATCTCATGAAAGAGTTGCCCATTTTCTGATAGCCCACACGACTTCCCTGGCAAGGATCTCATAACACAGATCTGTACTCCCAACCTTGAGATGTTCAACAACTAATTCTCTTTAGGAGAAAATGCATCTGTAGATACAGATCTGAACATCCCATTTACTTTTGGTCTGAGCTTAAAGCAATTCAGGAGAAGGACTGGGTGACAAAGCTACTGTACTGTACTTCCTACATTGCTGAATGTGCTAAACTTTTATCCCAAGATAAGTTGTCTTTCAGAACATTTGATTCACCAAATAGAATCAAGCCAAGTTATGCCTGATTCATCAGATAGAAGGCAAGTGATAATAGCCCCGATTTCTTTTCTTAAGAAGCAGGATGATTCCTGCTCTCTGAAGATGGACAGGGAACTTGGGCTTTGCAGTACAACTCCCAGCATTATTTGAGGTTATGGGATTTGTAGTCCTTGATGTGGCCCTCAGTGCACTCAGCTGTTTAGGAAATCCATGGAGTAAGCTGGTTGCAGTATAAAATCTTGCAGGCTGGTTGCAGTTCCATTGCAAGGGCTAAGATTAAATTGTACCTGGAGGGAGTAATGGTATGCTTCATACACCAGGAGGAATGGCTTGCGCCCAAATAGTCGTCTCTTGGTACATTTTCAGAAGCCACGCCAATGCAATAGTCAATGTTCTCATCAACATCCACCTCCCAGTAATGTTTTCCTTGGAACGGGATTGGGTGTCCCAATATAGCAATGGATCTAGTAAAAAAGAGAGAGGGTGGGAATATGGGTCAACTTTTAAGATGTTCACTTTATTGATGGAGTTGAGTCCATCTCCCGCATCTTCTTGTTATCCCAAAAATTGGGCATTAGTTAATATGTGGATAAGATTGGATTTTTTAGACTTCTGGGGAAGAAATGGTGGACTGAAGACGCCTCTAAAAATGGAGCCAACAACCATGGTGGAATGAAGAGCCAGAGAGTAGACCGGCTCTTCAGTAATTCCTCTCCAGACAAGGAGAGGACTTGAGAACACCCACAAGTGCTCCAGATAGTTGCTCCTAGTGAGGAGACCACAAGACAGCAGACTCCAGCAAGTTTAGAGCTCTGGGAGATGAGGGAAAAGCCATCTTGCTCAAACCGCAGTAGATGCCTTTGAAAAGACACTAAGTTTGCATGCTTTCTTTTCTAATCTGTTTTGAAATTGCTTGTTAATTGCTTTTCAATTATTAGGAACCTTTGGATTGACATGTCTTAAAGTACTGGGTGAGTTTCCTTCAATCCTTAGCAAAAGAAGTTTCAACTACAAGTTTAAGAACTTAAAAATATTGGGGGGGGGGGAATAAACAGCAAAAGGGTAATTAAAACTTTGATTTTAGAAAGTTACAGACTAAGGGTCCAGATAAATTTGAAATAAGATTTGGAATTAATTATAAAGAATCCTTCCCATGGGAATATACTATTGTTTTGATTTTTTTTAAAAAAATAAGATTTTAAAAATTGGACACTAGAGGGAACTAGAGGGAACTAAAGATTACAATTAAAGGAGAAGAAACTTAAAATCGACTTATAATTATAGAATGAAGCAAAATATTTTAACATTGGACATATTGAAGGATATTTTTTGAACAATGGACCCAGAAGTTAATTTTAAGAGTGTCTGCCTCCATAGATAGACTGTCTAAAGATGTTATGGAAGAGGAACAAGTTCTACCTGACAAGATTGAGGCTGAGTTGAAAGTGAATTTAAAAATATAAATGTGATTAATAAAAAAATTAAAATGACAGGTTATAAGAATGATAAAGAAAAAGATGTTACACTGGATATACAAAAGAAACTGGCTGATATCTTAATATTCTTCTATTCTTTCTGTTTGTTTTTGTTCTTTCTTTTCTGCACCTTCTACTCTTTCTTT